GAGGAGGGTCCCACATGGCGCACAGATCTCTCCTGCCGCCCGCTGCTCCCCTCAGCAGTGTACTTCGTCAGTCTGCTTGCTCTGCTCTCCACTCTGACTCTGGTGAATTCTCTCACCCTCTGGCGCTTCTGACTGTACCCAGTGCTTGTATAAATAAATAAATAAATAAATCAAAAAAAAAAATTGTTGAACTTGACTTTAAAAAAAAAAAGGCTGGTAAACTGTTTTGGCTCTTGTTTAGCCTCTTAAAATAACTGAAAAGGGCAATTATAGGCAAACATTTACAATGGTGAAATGCAGCATTAGAGAGCTCTGGTCTCTGATCAAACCTAAATTTATGCTGCATTTATAAAGATAGCTCAGAATAGGAATCTAAAGTTAGAAGCAGGAAAGCAGGAAATAATGGCATGCTTTTTAAAAGTACTTTTAGCTCAACAGGTAACCAGTTCCTTCTTTTCCCACACCCTTCTTTTCCGATGATGTGAAGTTTGTCTTGCTTGGTAAGTTCTTATTGGGACTTTGACAACTTCCTGAATCAGTTAGTTTGCTTTTGTTCTGTAGCCCTGGAGAGATCCTGACCAACTACTTCACAAATACACTTTGGTTTCATGTGAATAGATATGTACACATGTGTTACTACCGTTAAGAGAGCCATTCAAAGTCCATGTCCCCAGACAACTCACTAACAGAACAGCATATTATATCTGACCTATCCATGAGTGCCACTGTCTCAGGCAAACATCATCTTGCAAGCTATAGCATTTTTTCCTGTGTTACTTGAGCCAGTCAAAAAGTTCATGTGACTATGAATAAGAGGCCTATGTTTTTTAAATTAATATACTCTGTCTGAGAGTCATTTGATAGGCGTGCTGGCATATATTACTTTGCTGAAAAAAAAGGAAATTCCATCAAAAGTAAATATTCACTGAATGTATCTTTCTTTTATATGTAATAAGCCTACAGTAAAAGCTGCATGTGTGTAAATTGATGCTGTAAGTGTATCTAAATCTCATTTTCTCTGACTACATTCATTTACATCACACTAATTCTATGTATTGACTTCTGAAGATACCAATTGGGATGTGGTTGTCAAATCAGTTTCTTAGTTCTTTATAATTGTACATTTACTTTTCCTTTGGAATAAAGTATGCTCTTATTCCTTTGTAGCAAAACATAGCAAGCTGATGGAAAGGAATAGAGAAATTTAATTTAATTTGTAATGAGGTTCACAATAGGTAATAACTTAATGTTCAAAGAATAAATTTTCTGATTATTGGTTTGGCCTGGTTAACTGCTAGATTTCAGGGGCTTCTAAACTAATTGTTTCTTGGTTATCTGAACTTTCTAGGGTGTGTTTTTTTTTTTCCAGTATATGTGTATTACCTGCATAATTTTAAATGTAGCAATGATAAATAATAAAATGTCTTAATAATAAGGAAAATATAATGAACAAAACTGAATCTTATTGATAATAGTAGAGAGAGATCCCATAGTAATTATTATGAAGTAGAACTTGATTTACCTCTGTTTACACACATACATATATATACACACATGCACATGCACATGCATACATATACATATATACATATATATGCCATCTCTAAATTGTAACTTCTCTAGGAGACAGGCTGTTTATTCATCTTCATATCGCTTCATGGAGAACCTGACCCACAATAGAATCTAAATAAATATATGTTGTATGAATAAATAAGAATGGTTTACTAACCATAAAAAAGTTGATTTTGTGAATCATGTATATTTTTTAAATGTTTTTTAAGCATTTTATATTTAAACCTTTGAGAATTAGAAATGTAAAATATACTCATTACCTTTTTATTTTTTAACAACTTTATTGAGATGTATTTCTTTTTTTTTAAATAATAAATTTTATTTTAATATTCCCCATACAATTGCAACCCCCTCATTCTGACCCCAATCCCTCCCCTCCCGGCACCCACCCCCCCAAAATTGTCTCTAGTTCATAGTTTTTTGTTGATTTTGATTTTCACTTTCTTATAGTTATTCATTTTCCTGGTCCCTTATTTAAGTTTTCTAGATTCCTGCTATGAGTGAGACCATCCGGTATTTTTCTTTTTCTTTCTGGCTTATTTCGCTGAGCATGATCCCTTCCAGCGCCATCCATGTTGCTGCATATTACATGTGTTTATCTTTTTTGAATGCTGAGTAATATTCCATGGTATATATGTACCACATCTTCTTGATCCAGTCATCTATTTTTGGGCATTTGGGCTGTTTCCAAAGCTTAGCTATTGTAAATAGTGCTGCTATAAACATAGGGGTGCAGGTATTCTTTGGAATTGATGTTTCTGTGTCCTTTGGGTAAATACCTAGAAGTGGAATTGCTGGATCATATGGAAGCTCTATGTTTAGTAGGTCGAGAAATCTCCACACAGCTCTCCATAGTGGTTGGACCAGTTTGCACTCCCACCAACAGTGCAGAAGAGTTCCTTTTTCTCCACACCCTCGCCAACATTTGTTGTTGCTAGTTTTTTTAATATGTGCCATTTTCACTGGTGTAAGATGGTATATTGAGATATATTTCACATATTTGTACATTTCTAAGTTTATCCCCAGTTTTTAAATCTTTCTTCTCATAGTTATAATGGGAGAAAAGGCCCTATGTGTATTTTCTGATTAGTTCTTATGTATGAAAGCTCTGGTTAATATAGCTATTATAGTCATTTTCTTGTTTGTAGTGTTTTCTTAGTGGAGTCTGTTCATTATATTATTATCAAATAGTCATTTACCTTTGTCTTTCTCTCCAGTCTTCCATCACATTAAATAGCAATGGTGTTGTGTGCATCTCTGTCTTATTCTAGATTTTAGAATAAATCTAGAAAGGAAGGCTCACGTATTTCCCATAAAGTATTTGCTAACTTTTGGTGAGCACACCTGTCCTATTAAAGAATTACACATCTGTTCTTGTTTTACCCCTCAAGAATAGTTGATTTTTGTTAAGTGCCTCTTTAGTATAAATGAAGAGAATATGATTTTTGTCTATATTTCATTAATAGAATATTGTGACTTTGCACATTTAAAAATGCATTCTCAGCTTTATAAAGTTAATGTTATTGTTTAAACCTAATGTTTCATAAAGCGTTATGCACTGTTTTTTGCTGTGTGACTTTTTTGATCATTACACAATTCCATCGCTTATTTGCAAATATTACCACAAATGGAACTCTCTTTTTGTTTAAAAGCTTAATAAAGTTAAGCTGCTAATTTTATCTGACCAGTGGGCTGAAAAGTCCTGTCAGCATGGTTAAAGAGGTGGAACTGAAATTGAGCCAGCCTTTTAATGGGCCCTGTTTAAGTTTTCTTATTATTTTTTATTTTGACCGCAAATAATAGTAGAAGAAGGATTACAGTATAGGTACAGGATGTAAAGTGTTTGGGTTAATTAAACCTACTGGAAAGACTCTAGTTGGAGATTTCAAAGAAATACCGTTAATTGAACATTGTCTTATATATTTGCTTCATTCTTGTCCTCAGAGAACTCACTGCCTCAAGCAAAATTTCCAGTAGGCCAGTCACTCCCTGTACCTGCTGCTCCTTGAACCTATTGAGTACTTGAAATGTGGCCAGTAAATGTGCTGTAAATATAAAATACACTGACTTTGAAAACTTGGTATTGAAAACATTAAATAACTCATTAGTAATTTTGTATTGAATATATGCTGAAATAATATTATGGATCTATTGGGACAGATAAATTGTGTCAAGATTAATTTCACCTGTTTCTTTTTACTTTTTTAATATAGTTACTAAGCACATTTAAAATTACATATGTCACTAATACATTAAGCATCACAGGTCACTAATATATTAGCCATCACCCACAGACAATAGATGGTATGTATAACATAAAGACACCACATTGATTTTCATAACTTAAAAAGGTGAGGTTAAATAAACTACAGTTATAGCTTCTCTTACCACCTGTTTCTTCCAGTGGGAATAAACACTGATAAATAATGTGATCTTATCATACTCCATTATAAGTTTATCTTCTCTGTGATGTTTCTGTTTAACTGTTTATTTTAAAAAAATAAAAAATTCAATGCCTTCAGTATGCTCTTAACATTTTCACCTAAGTTAAAAACAATAGGATTCTTGTGTTTTGAAATACTAGCTCTCTCCAAGAACTGAATATATTTTTTAATTAATTAATTAATTTGTTTGTTTGTTTGTTTATACATACAAGACTGGGTACAGTCAGAAGTGCGGGAGGGTGAGAGAATTCACCAGAGCAGAGAGCAGAACAGGCAGAGTGATGAAATACACTGCTAAGGGGAGCAGTGGGCGGCAGGAGAGGTCTGCGCGCCATATGGGACCCTCACACGGCTGCCGGGGATCGATCCGGTGTGCAGAGGCTGCGGGCAGCTTCGCAACCCAGTGCTCAACTGCTGCGCCACCGGGGAGGCCCCAAGAACTGAATATATTTTAATAGAAATTCCCTACCTCAAAATAAATTTTGCTTGAGCATGTCTTTCATTTTTTCCCCCCATTATCCTAAAAAGGCAGTCCCTGTGCTCAGTTCTTTAGGTAGAGCTTTTAGTTTTGTCTTGTGGCAATAACATAAGTATTTTTGAATAGTTCATCTCTCTCTTTTTTAAAGATTTATTTATTTATGCATACAAGAGCTGGGGTACAGGCCAGAGATGCAGGGGTTGAGAGAATTCACCAGAGACAGAGTGGGGAACAGAACAGGCAGACTGACTGAAATATACTGCTGAGGGGAGCAGCGGGTGCGACAGGAGAGGTCTGCTGCGCCATGTGGGTTGCCCCCTGGCAGGCTGGGAGATCAAACTCATGCCACTGTGGCTGCAGTTAGCTTCATAGGTTGCATCTCAACCCCTTGCACCACCAGGGAGGCCCTGAGTAGTTCATCTCTTAACTTTTTACTCTTCAAAAATAAAAACAATTAAATTTCTCCTAAAGCCTTTTTTTATCTTGGCTTTTGTTACATTTTTTAGGATGATTATATCACAGATGATATTGGAATATCGACTTGGAAGGAGCAGACTTTTCTCTCCCATGGTGCCTTATTAGCAAAGAGCTGCCAAGCTGCAATGGAATTAGCAAAGCATGATGCTGAGGTTCAGGATATGGCATTTCAGTATGGGAAGCACATGGCCTTGAGTCATAAGGTATTTGCATATCTTTTCTCTTTTTCCAGTACTTAAATAACTAAAGTGATACACAAGAAACCTTTTGCCATTTAATAAGCTGCTTTTATATCTTAAAAAAATGTTCATTGTGTGCTTAAAATCTGTCATAGATGTTAATTGTTATGTAATATAAACAGTATGATTGGTTAGTACATGTCATTTTGATAGAAAGTTACAGCTTACTTAAACTATATTTGTGATGTTTGTCTTTTCTTACCACCTGAAAAGGCCCTTGAAAAAACTTTGCAAGTTATTGAATAGCATGTAATACGGCGCTTCACAAAATGGAAGGATATTTTCATTTTTGTTACAGTTCTCTTAGTTCCTCATGTAAAACAAATTGTGGGAAATTAATGACATTTACAAATATACTGATTAAAATTGAAAGCTTTAATTCTAATAACTGATTCTTTTGAATGCACACAATGCAATATAAAATGTCCTGAAAGTATATTTTTTGCTTCTATGTATATGTAATTTTTAAAAAAAAAAAAATATATATATATATGCACATGTATCTTAGATGTTAAATAGCTCATAAGAGCAAGGGAAATATATGCACATATATATATCTCCAGATGATTTTTTTACATATTTATTAAATCATGGATTAGTTTATTAAGCAATTATATCTGTTAAATCTTTTTCTAGAACCTTATCTTGAATTTAAAAAGAAAATAAAGGCTGCTGCCAAATTAAAAAAAGGAATGTGTTAGGGAAAAATTATTTTAAATGATATTAAAGATTATTGTTATCACATGGACTGTTCTTTTGGTTACTGAAGTGCATCTAAAAATTACATTCCTTAAACTTCATTTTGTACTGTATTAATTAGTGCTTTCTGAATGATACAGCATACAACTGTACATGCATTTTACTGATTCAATTCTTTTGATTACTCCCTCTAGATAAATTCTGATCTCCAGCCTTTTATTAAAGAAAAGACCAGTGACTCCATGACTTTTAGTCTAAACTCAGCTCCTGTAGTCTTACATCAGGAATTTCTTGGAAGAGATATCTGGATTAAGCAAATCAAAGAGGTAAAATGAAATTACTCGTATTTTAGGGACCAATACTATGTAGATTTTAGAACATAATTCATGACTTCATAATTCATGAAGATCTGAGACTACAGATCTGCCATATAAAGAGCATACCCACATACAGGTGCAATTCTTACTTTATAATTTTAGAGAGATATTAATAAAAGTTAGAGACATCAATACTATGTTTTTGTATTATCTGAGTACTTAGAATACTGCAACAGAAAATTAGTGCCTGTGGTGAATGTTAATTAACTCAGATGATTTTTTTTTCTCTAAAGGCTCTCAAAAATTGGGCTATGGTAATAGCACCACCCTTTAACTGACAGTAATTTCCCATCTGTAGACTCTAGCACACGCTGCAGAATTCCAGGAGCTCCGTCTGTCGACTCATTGAGTTATTTTAAAACAAACTTGGACCCTGAATACTCAAATTCTGAGGCATTATCAAAGAAAAAAAAACATGGTGAAGTGGGAGGGATAAAAGATTTTGAACTAGATAAGTTTCCTATTTGGGGGGAGGTTGTAGGAGGAAGGTGAGGAAAATGAAATGGAATTTTCTTGGTTTTCTTTTAATCAAAAAGTTCTTGTCCTTTTATCCAAAACTTCGTGGACTTTATTTAACTCCATGGTTTCTGACTGACTGGATTAACCTGAGACTGTGCACATGGGGAGCCGGGCACAACTGAAGATGGGTAGTGGCCATAGTTAAAGCTGAGAAAACCTGGGTGATATCTGCATTCGAAAGAGAGTATTTTCCCTTCCTGGTGCTCTTCCCTGTGGACTTCCAAGATACTAGCAGACAGCTTAAAATCTTCCAGAAAGAGGATCCCTTTCTGGAGAAACTGAAACTCGGGAGAAAAGACCTGCAGATGTGAATGTTTGGTACTCCCTCAGTAAACGTGCCATATCCCTGACCAGCCCTCCTGCAATGAAGCCCACCAGCTGACAAGCCGCAGCCCATCCAACTGAAGTAGAATAGGTAATAGAGGACTGCTAGGCATGTGGGAAAAGCCTCTACTGTGAAAGGATGAGTCAAAAGCAAACTGACTAGAAAGAAAGACATTTCAAAAGCACTATAATCAGGGCCTCCCCGGTGGCGCAGCGGTTGAGCGCTGGGTTGCGAAGCTGCCCGCGGCCTCTGTGGTGCCGGTTCGATCCCCGGCTGCTCCCCGGCCACCGGAGGAGGGTCCCACATGGCGCGCAGACCTCTCCTGCCGCCCGCTGCTCCCCTCAGCAGTGTACTTCGGTCCTTCTGCCTGCTCTGCTCCCCGCTCTGGCTCTGGTGAATTCTCTCACCCTCCCGCGCTTCTGACTGTACCCAGTGCTTGTATAAACAAAAACAAACAAACAAATAAATAAATAAAACATGCCTCTGTTAAAAAAAAAAAAGCACTATAATCAATATCCTCATTGAGATAAGATAGTAAATTCATGAGATAAGAACAGGCGAGATACATATATACATATTTATATACATATAGAGATAGTGAGTCCAAGAATAAGAAATCAGAATAATAAAGTATAAAAACATGAAAGCAGAATTTTTTGATCTAGATGACTGAGCTTTCTAGGAAAAATATTTCAAAGAAAAAAGATGGCGCTGATGTACTTGACCATATTGAAAATTTAGGGACAAATTAATGATAGGAACATAAAAAACTAAGTGTCCCAGTAACTACTGCTGCATAGTAAATTACCCCAAACCTTAGCTCTTAAAATAAACATTGTGTGTATATGTGTGAAGGACTTTGTGGATCAGGAATTTGAATAGTGCGCAGAGGGATGCCTGAGGCATCCAACTGGAAAGATCCAGAGTCTGGAGGTTACTTAACGATGCTGAATATTGGAATCATCTGCATACTCCTTCACTTACACCTGGTACCTGGACTGGGATATCTAGAAGACCAGCCTGCTGATGAACCTGAGTGTTCATATGTGACTTCTACACTGAACTTGGCTTCCTCACAGCATGACAGCTTCAGCATAATCAGACTTTTTACTTGCTGGCTCAGAACTCCAAACACATGTGTACCAGTGAACAAGACAGAGGCTGCATCTTCTTTTATGACCATCCTCAGAAGTCATTTCTCTATCACTTGCATGTCATGATTTCTTATAAAAGTAGTCACAGAAGGACCTCCCTGGTGGCGCAGCGGTTGAGTGCTGGGTTGCAAAGCTGCCTGCAGCTTCTGCAATGCCAGTTCGATACCCGGTTGCTCCCCAGCCACCGGAGGAGGATCCCACATGGCGTGCAGACCTCTCCTGCCACCCGCTGCTCCCCTCAGCAGTGTACTTCAGTCCTTCTGCCTGCTCTGCTCCCCGCTCTGGCTCTGGTGTATTCTCTCACCCACCCGCGCTTCTGACTGTACCCAGTGCTTGTATAAATAAATAAATAAATCTTTTTTAAAAAATGATTAAAAAAAAAGTAGTCACAGAAATCTGAAAAATGAGGTCTATGGTCCCACCAAAATCAAGAGGAGGGACTGTAGACTTCACTTATCAGTGGGAAGTGGGAAGAGTGTTAAAGAATTCTGGGATCTGATTCTTATACAGCCACACTAAACACATGGAGCAAAGTGAGGTCATTATTATCTATAATCAAAAACATAAAAACATAAATTAATCATACTCTATATTACTTAAAGAATAATACTTATATAGCATAAAAATGTAAATATCAATTTCAACCAAATAGGGAAAAGTGTGTTTGAGGAAGTGTGTTTCCTCAGAGGAGCAGCTAATGGTGAGGTCTTCAGTCCAGACTGTCTGCCACCTCTTGGTCAACCAAGGCCATTGCAGGTGATAGAAAATACCAGTCTGTGACATTGATAACCTGTCAGGCTGGGGTCCCTTTGCAGTTCCCAAGCAGCTTCAGGATGTGCCCAACCAGTCATTCAGCAAAGGAGGTTTGACTAGCAAAGGCAGCAGACTAGACAGGTGCCACATATCAAAATAAGAAGTACTCAGACAAGTACTACTCTCAGTGTGGATTATTTCCATGAGGAGAATGAAACTATTTTCTAATTGGTGGACATAACACACAGAAGACTGCCTATGGCAAAACTGGATGCAGTTTGAATAGAGAATGTCCGCAGAGACACAGATCAAGGGATCATGTTGTAATTCACCCTGCAGACCTTGCCAAAGAGTGACAAGTAGAAAGAAAGAGAACTCACAACTACAGAAAAATTCCAGAAATAATTTGGAGTGAGGCAAAAACGGTACCAAAAAAATCACAGAAACCCTGAGACTCATAGTAACTAGGAGGTGAGACAGGAAATAGACTTTCCTAAGTTTTCGAAGTTGTACTACTTGAAAGTATCAGAGTCACAGGATATGGAGTGTGGTGGGACCCTAGATTATTATGATAAAGCTTTTGACTACATTATCGTGAGACATGAGAAACCACTGTGGAGCATCTTCCATTCTGTCACCAACAACAACCATGACATCTGAATGCTGACAGAAACTCAGAGAAATGTGTTTGCTACTGATGTAATTCTAGCCACACTGATGAACAGTAATGGCTCTGTGTATTCCTGAAACAATATGGTCCAGAATGTTGGGTCCGAGCTTTTGTTTGACAAGAGAGACAACTCTGATATTGACCTCCTGACAAAGGGTGAGTCAGCCAACAAGCTTCCTCAAGATGAAAGTAATTCTTTCAACTCACCCCATATCATGTCCATGGAAGCAACCTACAACAACTACAACTTCTCCTGCAGTGCTTGAGAATGGGAAGGAAAAGTACATTTTCCCCAGCCCAAACCTGTTGGTAGAGGAGAACATGGATAAGAATGAAATCACCTCTGGTGCATACTACTATTACAGTAGAAGCTTGGAGATAACATTGACCTTAGTATCCATTGTGAACATGACAGCTTCATAACTGGAGCCAGTGGAGAAGTGTCCTTTATCAACATCAAAATCCTCTGTGAGTGGGATTCTAGTTATTGTAATGGTATTGACTGGCATCAGAAACTGAACTTTCAGTAAGGGGCTGTCTTTGCCACCAAGCTGAAGAACAACAGCTGCAAGGTGGCCTGATGGACCTGCTGTGCTTTGCCAGCCAGGTCCAAATACCTCAAGTGTGGCAGTGTGTCCCATTACCATGCCACATCATCCTGTGTACCCAGCAGCTCTAGCCGCACTGTGAAGCTGTCCATAGCCTCTGCAGTGCGGGTTTGATCCCAGCCAGCCAGGGAGAAACCCACATGGGACAGCAGACCTCTCCTGTCTCACCCACTCCTCTCCTCAGCAGTGTATTTCATCAGTCTGTCTGTTCTGTTCCCCGCTCGGTCTCTGGTGAATCCTCTCACCCTCCCACACATCTGACCTGTACCCCGGTTCTTGTATAAATAAATAAATCTTAAAAAAAAAAAAGAATAAGTTTATTTAGTCTCCTTAAAAAAGGAGCGATCCGGGGCCTCCCTGGTGTCACAAGGAGTTAGTCTCAGCACTATGAAGCTATCAACAGCCATTGCAGCACGACCTAACCCACATGGCACAGCAGACCTCTCCTGTTTTGCCCGCTGCTCCCCTCAGCAGTGTATTTCAGTAGATCTGCCTGTTCTACTCCCCACTCTGTCTCTGGTGAATCATCTTACCCCTACCCCCACACCTCTGGCCTACACCTTGGTTCTTGTATGTATAAATTTTTTTTTAAAGGGTCAATTACGAAATTTAGGTTTAAAAAGAACAAAGAAGTCCTGTATTACTTTAATTTTTAAATACTACATATATATTTTATCTAGAAACATTTAAAGATTTATGTACTTCAGTATTTACATTTCTATGACTCTATCAAAGAAAAATACCAGTCTTGGACAAAGACAAATTCAAATCTGTACTAATTCTAAAAGGAAGATGAAAATTGGTCCATTTAAAAATGGAAGAATTGTAAATCTCTGGTAAATCAATAAAATTTTATTTAAAGAATATAGAAAGGTTAATGAAGTATAGTACAATAAATATCACACAACTATTGAATATTG